GCTGTCGTATTTTTTTTTAAAGTTTGGCCGCCGGCTGGTTGGTTTTGAAGTACATCGCACAAATTGCACTGACAACGCAGTTTGGCACAGGTAGCCTGAAACCGTTCAGTGTAAAGGAGGTGTCGATGTCGTGCTGATTTTACGCTGAGAAGGTATTGTTTGCATAATGACCGTCTTGGTTAGCGATTTTGGCCACTTGTGACCGTTGTGAGTGATGTGTTCATCAGGCACAGTGCGTGTGTGCGTACCACGAGCGTTTCTTGTCACCGGATGCGTCTGTGGCTGGACGTTGAAGGCCGTGACCTTTCTCGCGGCCCAATGACACAGCTCCTGGCGTCTTCATTAATGTGGTTCTCCGGTGCCTTACATAATGAATGGCAAAGAGTGTGTCCTGCCCGCCACCGCGCCTACTCGGCTTACCATGACCGTCTTTTTCTGAGCTACCTGCTTTGTCGTCTTCTTCGGGATGTATTCGGATGTGAGAGATAACGCCGACCCGCATCGCGTACATCTCTGTCCCCGTACCACGAGGGAAGGGCGGCGCTAGGGAAGACCGGTACATCTCTGTCCCATGCCACGGGGCAAGATGCGGCCGACCCGCGGCGCGTGCATCTCTGCCCCCCCCCCCCTGCGGCGAGGGAGGGGCGGCGCTAGAGCAGTCTCGTGTCTGGTACGTCCTTGTCCCATGTCACGGGAAGGATGGGGTCAACCGCGTCGCGTACATCTCTGCCCCCCCCCCCCCCCCGCCGCGAGGGAAGGGCGCTGGCTAGGGTAGACTCGCGTCAGGTACATCCCTGTCCCAGGTCACGGGGCGAGATGGGGCCGACGTACGGCCAGTGCGTCTCTCCCGTGTCTCGGCAGGAGTCGGCGCTGACTCGTCCCGTCTCTCCTGCTGCAGGGGGAGCTGCAGGTGTCCGAGGTGACGGGCAAGCTGGAGCTGACCTACCCCTGGTGGCGGCGCAACGTGCGGCGCTATCTGGTCGGCTGGCCGCTGACGGCCGCCTGCATCGCCGGCGACATGTTCGTCATGTGGACGCTCCTGGAGCTGCAGGTGCGTCCTCCGGCTCCTGGACGGCCGCAGCTGAGGCGCCGCCGGCCAGTCCCTCGGCGCTGCGGACTGTGTGGGTGTGGTACTGACTCGCTCTCTGTGTCTGGCGAGGACCACTGGTTGTTGATGAGCGTTTCGGTCACACACAGCAGCGTCCGCGGCGCCCCCGGCCGTGCCGAGGCCATACGCTGTTATCGGCGTCGGCTGCGGACCGACTGGAGCTGGCCTAAATCAGTCACGGAATGGGTCGTCAGCGCGGAGCTGGTTCTAATAGCTTGTCCTTAAAGGAAACACGAACTTTTGCTCAATTTTTTTTTTACTGTGACAGGTTTTACTGGTGGGCTACCCTTAGAGCACTTCAGCGTGCATCTTTGTTTGCGTGGCTGTGTTTATGATTTGCAAGTATTGACAATCGCATCTGTTCGCGAAGAGCCCTAGCCGGAGCTCTTTGTGAGGGTTGATGGTGTCGTTCCCACTCGGGCATTATCAGGGCGTAAAGGCCGAGTGGATAGTGCATAGCACTTTGCAGTGTCGAAACTGCCTGACGGCTCGGCACAGGTGACTGATGTGGCCACCGGAGACACGGCTTTGCCATGAACTCACCGCTGTGTTCCTTTTCACACAACATAGACTACATGGTCATTAGCCACGATGGGCTCAGGGACAGGTCAAAATGTCAGCTGTTAAATAAAAATTGCCTGACTCACAAACGTAACTGCTAATGGGATCATTGTAGCTGATAATGATATAATGCCCCCCCCCCCCCCCCTGGTGACGTCCTTCTCTTAGTTTAAGTGGCGTAGCTGCACCCATCGTAACAGATCTATTACTACTTCTACGGATCACTGACATCGAACGTTGTCTACGGCGACATGCTCGCCAATGGTATGGCCTGTTCATTTCAGTTCTGGTGGGAGAAGCACACACACGTGTGGGGTTACGGCTCGTGGACCAACTACTTCCCCAAGATTCTGATGGCCTTTACCATCGGTCTCATGGAGAATGTCTACAAGAAGGTCGCTGTTTGGCTCAACGAATTCGGTACGTTGGCTGCCATGGACAGACCGCGAGATGAATAACGTCAGCAGCCGTCTGTCCAGCCTGGTGGGCGTGCGGCTAATGCTTACGGTCTGCCTTACCGCGCCTGGCAGCCCATGCCATTAGCGGAGTGTCTCAGAAAATGCTTCGCCGCCGTGTGACAGGTTTCGTAATTTGTTCGGGACTCACTCCGCGACCAGCAGCCGGGTGTGACCACCTCCTCCGCGCGACATCGCTGGAGCGGCCAGAGCCGGTGTGGGCGCGAGCTCCGGCTGTCGGTGCGCCGCGGCCGCGCTCGCGCGCCAGCGTGCCGGCGCGGGCGGGGGCGGGCCGCCACTGGCGGCGCCGGTGGCTGCCCGGCTCCGGCCGCCGCCGCGTGCCGTCAGCTGTCGGCGGCGTTTTACGGCGGCGCCCCGGGCCATTTCTCAGTCCGGCCAACAATGCCGGCCGCCGCTGCCGCGTCATCGATCGGCCGGCGACGCCCTCGGGCCGCCCGACAGACGGTGGAGTGTCGGCCCGACAGAAGGCCCGGTGTCGGCCCGACAAACGACTGGGAGTCGGCCCGACAGACGGCCGGGTACCGGTCCGACAGACGGCCGGGTGTCGGCCGAACAGACGGCCGAGTGTCGGCCCGACAGACGGCCGGGTGTCGGCCCGACAGACGGCCGGGTGCTGGCCCGACAAACGGCTGGGTGTCGGCCCGACAGACGGTTGGCTGTCGGCCCGACAGACAGCCCTGGCATGATGGTAGTCCACGTCAGGTTGAAAGCCAAGCAGCTGTGGCGGCGCGTAGGTCAGGGTCTCGTGGGTGAGGATTAGAAGCTGGAACTCTGCAGCTCGGGCGGTCTCATCAGATCGGCGCCACGTCGGGGGATCACTCCCTGTCTACTGTCGTGTGGGCGCACAACAACTCTCCGGCCTCTCCTTTGTGGCTGGTTCCCGTGCTCCGCCCTGCCTCGTGCCGCCTGCCTGGATCTCATGCTTCGCTCTGGCCTGTCCCGCCTGCCTGGATCCTGTGCTCCTCTACGTCCCGTCCCGCCCACCAGGATCCCGAGCCTGGGTTACTCAGCTCCCTCCGGCCTTTGCAGAGAACTATAGACTGGAGGAGAGCTACCAGAACCACCTGATTGTGAAACTGGCGTTGGTGAGTCGGCTCGGTCGACTGGCGGTCGCACACGTGCTGTGTCCCTCCCCCCCCCTCCCCCCAGATCTGCTGGCGGGGCTGGTGTGCCTGGCATCACTCCGAAGCAGCATGAGGATGCGGGACCGGCTCTCGCGGTGTCGCTCCGGCTGTGTGTTGTTGAGTTCTGCACCCTGTAGTTCGCTCTCCTCGGAGCCGGTCGAGTCCCATTCTTGTTGTTGCCACTATGTTTGATGTGTTGGTCACATTTTGACTTGCTTTTATTGATGGCGCTCGTTGTGATTGCTGCTTTCCAGTATTGACCCATTTCAAGGGAACTCGTGGTTGGGACTGTCTTGTGGTTATAGGATGGGGTCCATTGTTATTCATAGCGGTACGCTGCCAATATTTGATGTCGCTGGCTCAGCAACCCCTTCTTTCATTGACGTAGGCGCAGGTTATTTGATTTTGCATGGCATTTTCATAAGCCATGGTCGGCTCGAGCTGACTCAGTTCTGTGGTGCAATCCACCATAGCATGTCTCTGATCGAGATGGCCTGGAAAGTATTTGGATTTCATGGGGCGGGTGTTTGCGCACGCTCGTACACTTCCACGGAATACGGTGGGTACATATGAACGCCTTTGTTACCCTGGCTAATAACTTGTAAGTCTTGTCTAGAGGTCTTACCATCTTAGGTTCGCTCTTATTTGTTCGTGATCGGCGAATGCCCCAGTACTGCAGTATTTAACTGTTTTTAAGATACATGTTTTGCTTTCGTGCACCCTGTATTTTTAGAATGTTCCGACTGCTCTATGACTTCAAGGCTTGCTTGCTGCATGCTTCATCGTCTGTTGAGTGTGACGGGCTGCATGGATTCGAGCACCTCGCAAGGGAGAAGTGAGGGTTCAGTGTGTGGGTGTTTGCCAGTGGCTGCAGCTGGCCTGCTCACTTGGGTGTTTTACCCTGGGTCGTTTGACAACCTTGATCTGAGATGGCCATTTAACACAGTGGAGGTGAGCTTTGGAAGGCTCGGCCGTTGTCTTTGTTCGTGTCTTCACCGATATCTTTTGGGTTCAAGACTTACTTCTGTCGGTTGGGTGGGTTTGCCCACTACACCAGCTATGTCACCCGGGTCATTTGCAATTTTGATCGCATCTTGAAAACAAAACTGAGAAACCGCTCACAAAATATTCGTTCTTTACCTTTGAATTCCCAAGTTTCTTTGGCTCGCCAGCTTAAAGGAGGGTATACAGATTCTGTTATTAAAAGGCAGAGAGTAAAGCTACGTTTCGAAAGTCAGGGGTTGACATTGCTTGACTGACTTCGCACTAGTGAGGGATTTGCATGGACTCACTTGTCGCGACATTCCCTTCCCTTCCCTTCGTCTTTTCTTAAATAAGGAAAACGCCCTCAGCCTGTGCCTGTCCAATACGCATGTTCTTGCTCTGTCACGTTTGTCATCCAACCGTCGCACCCGTCCGGTGTGATAAGACTGTGAGGAAATTGTTATGGGACATTCAAACTACTTATTGAATGAGTTGTGTCTAAGGCGCTACGAGGTTGTTTGTGCGGTGTCAACTTATGGGTTTGTGACGTCATGTTTGCCTTAGTTTCAGTTCGTAAATTCCTTCGCCTCATTATTCTACATTGCCTTCTATCTGCAAGACATGGAGCGGCTAAAGAAGGTAAACGTCGCATTTGAGAGGCGATGCTGACCAAATGTGCAAACTATCGCTGCTCTTGCCAATGTTTTATATCAATATGTTATTTTTCAGGATTTTTTGCGTTAGCAATCTTGCAGTGATTCGTTACGATGGCAATAGTGGTTCCAAATTAAGCACGTTTGAAAATGTGTTCGGATTACTGTTTGTTCTCTGGCGACAGGACATCATCAACCAGTGTCTTTTGTGTGCTGCCGCAGCAACTTGGAACCCTTCTGATCATCCGGCAAGTGGTGGGTAATATCAAGGAATCTCTAATCCCATTCCTGAAAGGCCAAATGAAACTGGCCCAAATGAGCTTCGCCATGTTCGGTGCCGTCTCGCCGTCTATGGAGGAGAAGCCGAAGCTCGACGCCAGCCCAGCGCCTGAAGATGGCAGCACTTCGCCCCGCTCCGACGCCGGACGCCAGGCAAGAAACATCAGCCAGGCTGAAATAGAGTCGGCAATGCCTCAGGTGAGTCGCCAAGCCAAGGAAACGGCATGTGGTCTTGGTAGCGGAGGCCATTTTCGCCCTCTTCAGCGAGCTGTACGCGCTATCGGGCTGCGTTGTCGTCAAACCCGACCTTATGGCTTCAGATTCCATGGGACGCATTGTACATGCGGCCGTCTTGGCTGTCTCGTTCGAGCAATGTACGGCACTGTGTGACTTATCAGCAGCGACGGATGTTGTAATATACGTATGGGTCTACGTCCCCTTTGGTCAATCCCCCTAGCTGTTAACGTGAAGCATGTCCACCCGTGAGGAGATCCAGTTTGTGACCAGTCTTGCTGGCAGATGGGCCATACTGACGCGCCTAAACCCGTGAAGTGAATCCTAATCTCTGCCAAGTGGTGTTCCTCATCCTTCAAAGATCATGGAGCGGAGGGTAGCGTCGTGGCCGCGATAGCATTATTCCAAAGGTTTTAGTTTAGAACAAGACTGCTTACCGTCGCTTATGATTCCAACGTTCTCCGCTTTGGCCATTGGATATTTCCCACTGTTGTGCAAGCCACTCCACGTCTAACGACACATACCGTCAAGGAGGAGACAGTGGAGGTCATGACTTTCCTAGTCAGCCACTGATTTTATTATTATTTTCTCAGAAGTTCATCATAATTTGCATCGCGATCAATTGTATTTTGATGCGTCCCGCGTTGTTGCGCTTTGCGCACGTTTCAGGGCATGGTTAGTCTCGTCCGTGTGCAATAGGCACCGACGTGCTGTGGCCAGCCCCGTGGTGACGCCGCTTGGGCGCCGCCCCAGCGCCGGGCCGCCGTCGCTCGCGCGCCTCGAGCGCCGACGTGTTCTGGCCAGCCGCGTTACGACGCCGCTCGAGCGCCGAGCCGCCGTCGCTCGCGTGCCTCGAGCGCCACCTCCTCCCCACTTACACTGAGCACCGGCGCCCGCGCCGCCAGTACGAAGGCACGTTTGAGGACTACCTGGAGATGTTCATTCAGTTCGGCTACGTCATCCTGTTCTCGTCGGCCTTCCCGCTGGCCGCCTTCTGCGCCCTGCTCAACAACGTGATTGAGATTCGCAGCGACGCCTTCAAGCTATGCGCCATCTTCCAGCGGCCGTTCGGCCAGAGGGCGCGCAACATCGGCACGTGGCAGGTGCGTGTCGGGGGGGGGGGGGGGGGGGAGCGGGCGGAGCGCCTCCGGGCGGGGTGGTTTCTTGGGTGGTGGCCACGGTATTGGAGACACGTCGGCGCTGTGTGAGCCCCGCGCATTGTTTTGGGCACGTTGTGAGATGTACCGCTTGACAGGGTCATTGCCTTACTTATAAGTGTAGGAGAACGTGATATTAAATTGTCTGATCATCCCAGGCAGGTGTGGGATGTGTATTGTGTGCAGCGTGTTTTTTGTTTAAATATGTTCATATTAGAGGCAGTTTAGTGGACCAGTGACCTGCCCGAGTCGCCGAGGCAGCGATGAGATGAGCTCAGACCGCTCGGCTGACGAATGTCGCAGAGAACCGCTGGGTTAGGTCGTGTTACGCGCCGATGATGCAGAGCGAGCTCTAATTTGTCCCTTTTTTGTCTGCTGTAAAACATCATGAACTCAGGTAGCTTTACTCGTCCCTGCTGCGGGAAGAAACCACTTGCCGGCTATTTTCCAAAGTTGCAGATGAACTATGCAGAAGATATTAGATAGCATTCCGTCCCATTCGTCATCAGCACACATCCTGTTTTTTTATCCAGCTTAGTATTTATTTCCTTACAGGACTGCGTGTTTTTTTTTGGGGGGGGATGGCATAAGGTCGGCGTCCGGCGTCCCCAACATCCCAGTGGTCCAATAGTGTACAGCCCCTGAGCCCCGACACCCTAGTGACCTTCCGACAGTGTACAGCCCCTGAGCCCCGACACCCTAGTGGCCTTCCGACAGTGTACAGCCGCTGAGCCCCGACACCCTAGTGGCCTCCCGACAGTGTACAGCCGCTGAGCCCCGACACCCTAGTGGCCTTCCGACAGTGTACAGACGCTGAGCCCCGACACCCTAGTGGCCTTCCGACAGTGTACAGCCCCTGAGTCCCGACACCCTAGTGGCCTTCCGACAGTGTACAGCCGCTGAGCCCCGACCCCCAGCCACGGCGGCGGCCAGCCGGTCCCGTGCCTGTGCGTCTCCCCTCCCGACGCCCGTGCAGTCCAGGCCGGCGTTGCTCGGCCCGGCCGGTCCCGTGCCTGTGCGTCTCCCCTCCCGACGCCCGTACAGTCCGGGCCGGCGTTGCTCGGCCCGGCCGGTCCCGTGCCTGTGCGTCTCCCCTCCCGACGCCCGTGCAGTCCAGGCCGGCGTCGCTCGGCCCGGCCGGTCCCGTGCCTGTGCGTCTCCCCTCCCGACGCCCGTACAGTCCGGGCCGGCGTCGCTCGGCTCGGGCGGTCCCGTGCCTGTGCGTCTCCCCTCCCGACGCCCGTACAGTCCAGGCCGGCGTCGCTCGGCCCGGCCGGTCCCGTGCCTGTGCGTCTCCCCTCCCGACGCCCGTACAGTCCGGGCCGGCGTCGCTCGGCTCGGGCGGTCCCGTGCCTGTGCGTCTCCCCTCCCGACGCCCGTACAGTCCAGGCCGGCGTCGCTCGGCTCGGGCGGCCCGGACAGCCGGCATCTGAGGCAGCCGCCGCTGCCGCCGGCAGGACGCCATGGAGGTGATGGGCGTGGTGGGCGTGATCGTCAACTGCGCGCTGATCGGCATGTCGGGCCCCGTGCACCGGCTCTTCCCCGACATCTCCACCACGCAGACTGTGCTGCTGGTCATCGTGCTGGAGGTGAGCGGTGTTATCAGCGTCGCGGCGCGTGGGCCCAGCTACCGCCGCAGCCGGGCCCACATGCGGCACTTGTGAAGGCGGGTCAGTGCGTGGTGGATTTGGACTACTGCCTGCTGGGAGGTCCGTGGCTTTCACGCATTGTAGTTGGATTTTCTTCCTCACATAGGCTTCTCGGCAGTCGTTTTGTCGGTGGGAGCTTGTTATGTTGCAGGAGCTGCACCGAATATGCTGCGACCGCATATCCGTCGCTTCGGTCCGTTGTCCTATGACATGACGTAGCAAACTGTGTTAGATGCAAATGTGATGTAAACTTTGGATACTGATGCTTGTCATTGTCACACGTTTTTGACTGGCATATTCGCCACATGACCATGTTGTCCAAACCGCTTCGGCACTCCCTGCTGCTGGATGACATATTTCGTACACGCTGGCGTGTCCGCGCGCCCCCATGCGACGGAGCGTGACGCCGCCCGCTGCCGCCGGCAGCACGCGCTGCTGCTGCTGAAGCTGCTGGTGGCCTACGCCATCCCGGACACGCCGGCTTGGCTGCAGGCCGAGATCGCCAAGATCGAGTTCAACAGACGCGAGGTCCACAAGCGCTCGCTGTCGTTCGGGTCCAGCTTCTCGTCGGTGGACTCGAGTCCGCAGCACCGCGGGTAGGTGGCCTCCTGATCCGAGTCTCCCGTCGGTGGGCCCCTCGGCGCGCTGCCTGTTCAGCAGCGCGTGCGGGTGGCCCGGAACCGCTGCCGCCCCAGCTATATCGTCACCCGCCCTCCTGCCTCCAGTACAAGTCAGCCTCGATGGCTTCCCGTCGTTCTCACTCCCTGCCGGCGGTCATCTCTCTGCTGTCGCTCGTTCACTGTCTCGCACCACGTGTGGCCGGTTGGTCGTGGCGGCCGGCGCCGCGCGGTGCCGGCCGCTGTCGTCGCGCTCGTGTCTGTGTGGCGGCCGTCGCCGGGCGACCCGACTCTGACGGCTGCCCCCGCGCAGAGCGCCGGCCCCCGCCGCCCAGTAGTGAGTCGCGTGCCGAGAGGCCGGAGCGCATGGCTCGGGGTGGCCGCTTCGCCGCGCTCTCGTGCTGCCGCGCATGCGCAGACGGCACGCCAGCTGACGCGGCACAGGGCACGCAGGGCCGGCAGCGGCGGGTGGCGGCGGGCCTCCTTCTACCGGCTGTCGTGGGCGCCGGACGCCTGACGGCCGCCGGACGCGGCGGCGGCAGCACCGCATGGGTGACGGTCGCTGGGGCGCTCTGCCCGTCTGGTGGGGTGTGCTGCACGTGCCGCTGAGTGCTGACAGACCCGGGCATTGGGGGGAACGCAGGACGGGGCGGACGGCTGGCTGCCGCGTGTGATGCCCCTCGGGAACGCCCGCCCTGGAGACTGCGGGTGGTAGATGCTAGGCGCCGTTTGAACCCTTCTCCCCTGCTTTCATACAGCGCTCCCCGAAGCGCCGCTGCCAGACGACGAATTATGTGGGATGGCGCAGAAAGAATCAGCACCGTGTGCATAGTCCAGACTTGGTGTGCGCGTGATCTTTTCGGGCTGTGGCCACTCTTTGGAGAGCTTTCAGGGAAGTTTTGGTTCTGCTGTCTGTTTTAATATCTATAAGTCGCCTTAGCTACGCCTTTGACGGTTTACTTATGCTTAGCACTGGTGTTTCCTACTAACGATGTCGTAACGCGTTGTGTGATTACCAGATCATGGACTGTAAGATGTTGTTGGCATCCAACCGGTTAACGCTGGCAACGCGATAGTCGTTGCAACGCCTGCACATGCAACGCACCCACCTTGCTGTCATCACGTGTCTTGCAGTGTAAACGCAGTAAGAATGGGCAGCACATGTTTGCAGTGCTTCTCCGTCATTTACGGTGACCGTGGCCGTGCCAGGCTGCGTCGCACCGCGCCGTGCTGTGACCTTGCGCCTTACCCGGCCTTCTCTGGGGCTGTGCCGGCTACTGACACGCCGTTCTCCGACCAAGGTCGTGGGCGGCGGAGCAGGCGGACGCCGGCTGCCAGACGGACCCGTACCTGGACCGGCGGCCGCGCGTCATCTCCGTCGGCTGCCAGTACGAGCCGCCGCTGGTGCGCTCGCGGCGCGCCGCCGACCGCTCGCCGGAGGCGGCGCGCCCCGCTCACCGGCTGACGCGGCAGCACACGCTGGACGCGGCGCAGCTGCGGCAGCGGCGGCAGCCGGCGACCGTGGCGCCGCCCGACGAGCCCGACCGCAGGCTCAGCTTCGACCAGTGGCGGGAAGGCGTCGCGGCGGCGGCGGCGGCGCGACCCGAGCTGTCGCGGCGACTGACGGAAGAGGTGGAGGAGACGCCGGTCAGCCCGGCGGAGATCGACAGGCCGCGGGTGGCGTCACCGAACGGCGCCGCCGCCGGGCCGGCGGCGGCCGAGCAGGAGAGGCCGCCGGTCGGCCCCCCGGAGCCGCCCGCCGGCCGCCCGGCCGCCGTCGCCAGCCCGCTCAAACGGCACAAGCCGCGGCTGGCCTTCCTGAACCGCACCAAGTCGCTGTCGCACCTCTTCCACAAGAGCAACGGTGCCAGCCGGCGGCGGGAGGCGCGCCGCGCCGAGGAGGAGGCGGCCGTGGCGCAGCCGCAGCCGGCTATGGGCGAGTTGAGTGTGCTGGACCCGGACCAGCTAGTGCTGCTGTCCGACATCCAGAACAACGACCCGCAGGCCTGAGCGCCCTCCTTCCCCTCCCCCTCCCTCACACGTGAGACGATGGTCTGTGTTCTCACCGCCGCGCTCGGAGTGGCAGCCCCGATGCTGGACGGAGCCGTCGCTGGCGCTGGCGCTGGTCCCCTGCCGGCGCTGGCGCGGGTCCCCCGCCGTCGCTGGCGTGGGTCCCCCGCCGTCGCTGGCGCCGGTCCCCCGCCGTCGCTGGCGTGGGTCCCCCGCCGTCGCTGGCGCGGTTCCCCCGCCGTCGCTGACGTGGGTCCCCCGCCATCGCTGGCGCGGGTCTCCCGCCGTCGCTGGCGCGGTTCCCCCGCCGTCGCTGGCGTGGGTCCCCCGCCATCGCTGGCGCGGGTCTCCCGCCGTCGCTGGCGCGGTTCCCCCGCCGTCGCTGGCGTGGGTCCCCCGCCGTCGCTGGCGCGGTTCCCCCGCCGTCGCTGACGTGGGTCCCCCGCCGTCGCTGGCGCGGGTCTCCCGCCGTCGCTGGCGTGGGTCCCCCGCCGTCGCTGGCGCCGGTCCCCCGCCGGCGCTGGCGCGGGTCCCCTGCCGGCGTTGGCGCGGGTCGCCCGCCGTCGCTGGCGCCGGTCCCCCGCCGTCGCGCCCGTCCGGGGCTGGTCTGGAGGGGCGCGGTCCGCAGAGCGAGCGTCTCAGGTTGTCGCGGCGCTTCCATGGAGCTGGAAACGCCTCCTGTCGCCAAGCAGCGCTGTGCCTTTCTTGGTTTGCGCTTGGTTGTTTTGTTCGGTGCAGCATGTTGGGTTGTAAGCGGGTCGCCGAAGGGCACGCGCCGGGACACGCAGCGCCGTGTTTTTGGCGTCGGACGTCCTGGCCAGAGAAAGTCGGCGATTACAGCGGCGCTTAGACGGCCTTGTGGTGGGATGTTGTATCAGTTTACGTCCGGTGTACGTCACTGTCAACTTTGCGTCGCTCGGGTTTTGTCCAGGTTTGTGAGATCCTTTCATTGTGTGGCCATTCGACGCTGGTTAGCTATTAGGCTGATGGTTTGCGAACTAGGGGTACATTCCCGAGACGGTAGATGTAGTGAATCGTGCAATCCGTGGAGGGATGGAACAAGAGACTGTATTCTTCACTTTTGTGTACTGTTGTATGCATTACTTGCCGACATTTCCGGCCAATATACAGGACAATTGTCAAGGGGTTTTGTATTGGCATTATGTGGACTACTTGTGATAAAGAGTAGTTCGGTAGTGTAGCATCCGTTGGCGGGACATTCTGTGCTGCAAAACAGCATGACGACTGTGTACCGGATTCCGCTTTTGCGGAATCGCTTCCTACCACGAGCTCATCCCGCGGGACTAAATGCGAATCCGACTCCAAAGAGCACTGGGCAAATGAGTGAATTTGGATAAAAGTGCAGGAAGGCAGGCATTTGCGATCGATTCCATGCTGACATGGATTTTCGAATAATGAGAACCGTTGAGATCTTTACTCATATTTGAGTAGACTCGTGGATGACTCCGGTGACGTCGTTCCTGCCTAGGCTCACTTCCACCAACTCCACCTCGACTCAACGAAGACTCCGGCTATTCCCGACTGGCTTGGACACCACTAGCAGTGTAGTGCCAGGCTGGATGTATGAACTCACTTCGGGTTTCGAGGCTTGTGCACTGCAAGCGTGAATATGCGGAAGATGTCTTCCGGTCAATTCGGAGTCGGCTTGGAACGTTTAAGTTGTTCTGAAACATTTTAAATTGTTTTACATTTTGCGCATCGATTCTTGTTATGTATGGCTAATGTTAAATTTCATCACGTTACCGAAGTTGTCGCGGCAGAAAGGATAACCGGTTGGATTTATTCATTTCCTCTATTTCCCCATCTCGATAACGGAACGTCTGAACAGTTTCAAATTTCTACATATGGCCCCAGGCCATTCCCTGCCTCATTTTTACACAGCTGCATGCTTCTACCCTCCAAGCCACGACTGATCCGCTGGGTTCTTGGACCACACCACTGATATCATGAGACCAGACTTCCACTGTATGAGGCTCAGAACCCCGTCTCACCGACTCGCTGTCATCGCTCTGTGTGCAGCAGCCCACCGCAGGCCAGGCGGCCGCCTGCGAGCGGGCGGGCAGCGCAGCTCGTGATGATTGGCGGTCGGCCGCCGCCAGTCCTCGACGCTCCAAGCGCCGAGGTGTGCCGTCGCCATGGAAACTACCGCGTCGGCACAGAACTCTAATTGTGAAGAGAGTGGAGCGTCTGAACTGTACAGCTCGGGCAGGATTTCCCGGCTTAATTGACCCTGCCGAGCGTGGTCGCAGAATACAGAGGTGTGGGGTGACTGCATGGGAAGATGCGGGGTAGCTGTATGGAGATGTGTCAGGGTAACGATGCGGGAGGAATCCGGATGACCGTGTGGGAAGGCACAAGGTGACAACATGAATGAGAGGTGCGCACTGGCGGCACGTGGGCGTGCGGACTAGCAGCATGGGGAAATGAACGTGGTTGTGTGGAAGGTGGAAGGTGATCCTGTTACTACACCCATGACCTGTGCCTTTCATCGAAACGAGTACCTGATAGACATTTAGGTTACAGCTCACATTCACGATGGAAACATCCGCGCGATGCCAGCCAAGCTTGGCTTACCCGGATGGACTCCCTGGAGATCCAGCTCAAGACTCGGCATGAAAATGGCCAGGTAATTGCCCCTCCGACTTATGTTTACTAACACTGAATGCGTGTTAGTAGTAAGTTGGGTGACTTCAGCGGCCTGTCATTAGCTGACTCCAGCTGTGACTAATTTAAGCCTTCTCCGGCATGATTTGTTCATGTCTATTGCACAACGCCAGTCCTACCGAATCTGCACCACCTCTTTGCCTGCTTCTCTGCGTTTGATTCTACTTCTTGGCTGGGAGCGCTGCGACTTGATTTTATGTTTCTGGTGTTAAAATAAGTGTTCCGCCTTTAGAGTCTACTTCAAAAGCATGCTCTAGTGAAACCTCAGGACGAGTTACGTCTACTGATTACACTGCGAATCGCCACTGCACCACCTTCAAGATATAGTAAGTATATCAATTTAGTTATTTTCGAGTTCAAATTGCCCTGTCAGCGCTTTGTAACAGCACCACGCTTCTTCTCTGCCGTCGCGAGCACCGTCGTCATGACAACCACCGTGCTCACCTCTACTAGTGTGGACTAAGTTTGTGATTGGCCCAGCGGGCCTGCCACCAAAATGTTGAAGTTTGAACCAGTGCGTCACGCGGATCATGTGATACACCCAGTCCCAAAGTAAAACTGCCCGTCGAAAAGAATCGCTGTGGTAAACGTCGAATAAATCCGTCATAGCATAATGTTTCGTTGAACTGGCAGGATGAAAGCCGCATGTTCGCATCTCTTTTTTCTGAACTGTGTTCCAAGATTTCGTAGCATTAATTATGCAAACACTTTCACATAACAATGTATTACAAATATTACGGAAGACACACGCTGGAAAAGCAAGGCAAAAGGAATATATGGCCCTCACAGTGGCCAGCAGGTAGTCAAATTAGATTTCTCCCGCAGCGTCCGCTGCTTCCAATAGAAATTCTGAGCTACCTAGGATTTCGACAAAGACTGGTGTTATTGATCAAACCGTATACGTCAGGTATGATAAGTAAAAAACGCAAAAACCGTGGGATGCTCCCTTTAGCGTACGGTTCGTTGCGCCGCTGGGATAGAGAGGGGGGGGGGGAGGGCATTTCTGGTTGCCTGTTTTTGTATAACGGTATAGAAGAGGAAGAAAAAAACATGTTGGTCTGTTACGCTTGCATCGGTTTCCGGCACAACCGAATGCGAACAGCAAAACAGATGTCGGCAAAACGGTTCGGGGTGTGCCATATCTATTTTGTGCTTTCCTTTCAGCTGCAGCAAAACCCAGCCGATTATGAGATTCGGCACGTTCATGTGCGTTTGGGCAGATATGTGACAGACACAGAATGTTAGCTGGAAGCGAATCTTGTCACGCCGGTGCCAACAACGATGCAGTGAGGGAAGTGGTTGTGTCCGTTTTGTCACACTCTGCCTGTATGTCTGAGCTGATGGAAAAACTTGCTGTTTATGATCAGCCTGATTTTCTACAATTTAACGTGTAACACACACAGTTATCGTTGTGCCAGGGCGACATGCAACCTGCTACGGTAAATGGATACCGCACCGAGTACTTGGCCTTTTATTTTTTATTCTGGTTTCCAGGAACCTGGCCGTCCTGACAGCAACAACACTGAATATGAGGTGACACACGCACTGAAACAGCGACACATTATTCATGTCGGCAATTGTGCGATGAGTCCCGTGCAATACAGATTATGGTGATGCAAACGTGGCTTCTGAGTGACGCTGGAGATACCTGACTTACCGCGTATTGTTGCCCAATGTCACGGTGTGCGCAAGATGTCGGTCAGTGGTACAGAACAGACTGTGCACCTAAAATAATCACACAAACACGTAACGCATGCTATATCTTCCACATTCCCAACGTTCTTCCCACACGCTGTGCTTATTTTCGCACACGCAAAACATTTGCAACGGCGGCTAACACCCCTACCGCCATCTACCCTCGTGGCGCTGTGTCCCCCGCCCAACCGAGCTGTCTTTTGCAGCAGCAATCGGTGGCAGCGACCGCTCCGCTTCTCCGCGTCTTTCCACCCAAACAACTGGACTAGAACACACGGCAGCGTGCCGCACCAGATCCAACACAACACAAGGTCCAGACCGGCCTGCCCCGGACCGGGTGAGCCTTCCGCAGCCGTGCTCTGCCCGGCCCGCGCGCCGCACCAGATCCAACACAACACAAGGTCCAGACCGGCCTGCCCCGGACCGGGTGAGCCTTCCGCAGCTGCGCTCTGCCCGGCTCGCGCCGCTACTCAGCGGAGCACCGGCGCCGACCCGCCCAGACCGCCGCCTGGGCGTGCGGAGGGGAGTCAGAGCCTCAGCCCACAGGTGATGGCGTCAGATCGGGAACCGCCGACCACCGCCGGGCCGCGCCGCGCCGTCAGTGCACGTACTGGTTCTGGGCGTAGAGCTGCGAGTCCACGATCACGCTGGTGTAGCCTGCCGCGGCGGGCGGGCAGTCGCAGAGATGTGGCACCGGGCCGTCGGCCGGCGGGTTCGACCCGGCCAGCGGGACGCCCTCCGCCAGCGGTCGCCCCCGGTACCGCTCCGGGCAGTCGCCGTCCGGGCAGTGCGCCTCCGGGCAGAAGCCGCCCAGCTTCTGCCCGGACTCTCGGCAGTGGTCGGCCGGGCAGCACGGCTCGGCCGGCGGCGCCAGCGGCTGGAAGGCGAGGAACGGCTCCTGCCAGCGGTGGGCGTCGGGCGCGGCCCGCGCCGCCGCCGCCACGGCACCCTCTCGCGGCGGGCGGATGACGGCCGCCGGCTGGTATAGGGGCGACGGCTCTCCGTCAGGACCGCGCTCCAGCTCACCGGCGCCATTCTGGCTCGGCTCGCCAGCCTCCCCGCACCGGACAAAGAGCAAAGTCTCTCCGACGTCCCGGTAGATCCCGCGGGCCTCCTGACGCTGGTCGTCAATGTTTTCGAGTTGGACAAGTTCCATGTAGTCGCTGCCGCCCTGGCACCTGCCGTCGTTATCAAGGGGACGCCGGTTGTTGTCTTGGTAAGTCCCGCCATTTTGCCGGTACCTGCCATCGGTATCCTGGTACCCTCCATCATTATCCTGATACTGTTCGTGGGACTCTCGATACTGTACAGGGGACTCGTGGTACCGGGCTTGTACCATGTCGTACCGTTCGTCGGAAACCAGGTACTGCCCGCCGCCCCCTTGGTACCTCCCTTCGTTCTCCTGATACCGTCCGTCGCTCTCCTGGTACCGGACGTTATTCTCCTGGTACCGGACGTCGTTCTCCTGGTACCGTCCGTCGCTCCCCTGGTACCGTCCGTCGCTCTCCTGGTACCGGACGTTATTCTCCTGGTACCGTACGCCATTCTCCTGGTACCGGACGTCCGCCTCAGTATTCACGGCCGGGTACTCACAGAGCAGACCGGAGCCGCAGTCTTCCAGAGCGTCGCTGAGAGCTAGGTGGTCCGGGGCCAGCCGGAGCCGCGAGTCAGCCTCGCAGGCGGCCGGGTCCGCCTCGGCCGGCCCGCCGGCCGGCTGGCGCCTGTACGGCAGGCAGGACGCGGCCGCTGCTGTGTGCGGCTGCAGACCAGGCTCGCCCGGCTCCGGGTACGCCGCACTGTACGTCACGAGCGCCTCGGCGGCGTGGCCCGGCTGGTAGGACTGGCCGCCGGGGCCGCGTGCCGAGCAGCGGCTGCGCTTCGGCGTCAGCAGCTCCTCCTGGCGGCGGCCGGAGCTCGGCTGCAGCTGGCTGGCGTCCAGACACGTGCCGCCGGCCTCTACGTCACTGCGGCGGGAGGACACCGGCGGTCAGCCGCTCGGTCCGCCGCCAGCCTCTGATCATTATATTGGGCGCAGGATGACGTCAGCCCCTCCCCCCTCCCCCTCCTCAACGGCACTGCGCTGTGTCTCACGTCTTTAATTTTCCGGGGTCAGGGGTGGGTGGCTTTGTCTGGAATGGCCGCATATACAGTAGGCATCAGAACTTGCCCCTCCCCCTTTCCCTCCTCTAGGAGAGACTGGCGGAGTGGCGCGTTTCAAACCCCTTGCCCCCCCCCCGCCCTTCTCTCCCCTGGGAGAGACTGGCGGAGCGGTGCGTTTCGAACCGCGGGCTCTGTGACCTATCTCCGATCAGCCGGCTGGCAGGCCGGGGTGGCAGGTGGCCACGAAGCCGCATCTCGTTTGGGTGGCGCCGCCGCTCCGATAGCTCGAGCGCGCCACAGGAGCCTGTCTGCTAGCGGCTCGCGCTGGCCGGCCGCCGGTGAGCGCCGGCCCCCGGGCGGAGCCGTGACCTGACCGGCCACGTTCGCCGGTCAGCGGTCCGGGCAGGCTGGGACCCAGGACTTTTATGGACTGATGGGCGAAGCCGGCGGCAAATAAATGAACTAAAAGAAAAGAGAAGAGCTTTTAGAAAAGCGATGAGCTTGGCTGCAGTGAGCTGCTGTGTGGCGGCATTAGCCACGTGCCAACCACTCGCTGGCATGACCAGGCTGAAATTTGCTCTCTTATTATTCCAAACATTAAGCGTTTTTCCGTGATCGAACAAAACTTCACTCTACATTATTCGGAAAGAATTTCTGCTTATTCTAAGCATGTGTGCTGCCTTCACGTCTAAGGGAGAAGTGCCAGCGACTTGCTCTGATGGGCAGCTGTCTGGGATAAAGATGAGGAACCCTGGTCGCCTGTCCATGCGTTACACCTAGAACGAAGGTCACCCGTCGGCCTCACAGCGATGTATCGCACAAGTCTGCTTGGCCGTCCACAGCGCGCATGTTCGCATTGCAAGGCTGACGGCGCCAAATGACAGCGGCCAGCCTCCTGTCTTCTGACACCGTCTGTCCGACCTGAGCACGTGGTTGACGCTGACGATGCAGTGCGGCCGGGAAGACCTGCTGTTGTGGACGATGGTGACGTAGCTCTGCAGCCACACCCAGCCGCTCGACTTGGTCAGAAACCGGTAGTACTTGGTCTTCGCCTGGCCCTTGTATAACACTGTAAAAGCAGGATGTAGTGCGCGTCGGCTAGTGTCACAAGGCTTCGCAACAAGCCACAGCATGCAGGCAGTTTGCGCTTTTTTTCGTTGCGCTCACTGTCACGCAGCAGATGGCTCGCCGGCTCGTTACATCCTGCGCTACGTTCATTATGGCGAGTTGCAGACCGCTCGCTGAGCCATTACATCTCCAGCTGTGGTCCAGTGTAATGCGCCAGATAACCAGCTGACTCACCACACCGTTTCTCTTAAAGCGGTCGAAGTGCCACTTAAGCCAAATACCGATCAATCCAACTAGCTCTTCGTCAGGGAATCCCCGCTATCACAGTTGGCGACCATGGAATCAGGCACGGGTGAAGAGAGCAACAAACGTCAAGGGGTGGTTTCAGATGCACTTTCCGTCGTAAGAGAGGACGACACTCCGGTGCGATCGCTCCACACACGCTGGCGGCCCTACGGCAAAACACGTACGCAGTCTGTGCGCCTGAGCCACGCTGTGGGCGTCGTGGGCGTGCACGAAGTGGTAGAGCGTCTTCTCGATCATGTCCTGCGGCTCGTACCCGGTCAGAGGCAGCACTCTGCGGCAACCGCACTCGTCAGAGCGCCGCTCGTGCCACACGCACCACCTCGGGCTGGGGACATCACGCCAGCGGTCCCCCTATCAGCGGGAGCTCTGGGGGCCGACTTCGTCGCATTCATCACGTCACACGACACACATTACGTCACAAAGCCCGTTGTTTTAAGCTGCTGAGTTCGTGTCCGGGGCTCATATCGACGGGTTAAGTCCGTGTCAGAGATCTCAGTGGCGGTGAATAGGTGGGGAGGGTCTGCTTACCAACTGCTGTATGCGCCCTTGTTCGTGCGTCACGACCGGCGCAGCGGTGTAGGCCATTCGGTACAGGCAATGGCAAATCGATGCCCGGAGATATTCGCACAATCGCGCTGTGTGAGCGTCGCATGCGGAACCAAAGCTGCACCCGCGTGCGGGCAAGCACTGCATACACGCGTGTCGACAGCCATTACTGTGACAATGAGGTGGCTAGGAATGATGTATGTAAATCGCTTGTCTATTCCCCAGGGAACTGAAAGAAATGAAGCAAGGTACGTGTGAAATGAATGGTATTGTTTGCACTAATTGCCTCACTCATTAAAGAAGCATTTACCGGGTAAGAACGTGAACGATTTCCTTCCTTACTTTACACTGTGCTCCCTAACACTCTTGTCGGCCTTTATTGCCCTCCATTGCTGCCTCCTGTCCAAACGCCTCAGCGTGCCCACGCGGCCTCTCACCTCGCGTCTAGGAAGATGAGCTTCATATCGAGGCTCGCGCGGAACATGAACGTGCTGCCGGCCATCTTGACCTCGGTGACGGCCGAGGAGGGCAGCGAGTGGCCCACGGCCACCAGGCCCCGCACCTGGCCGGCGCTGACGCCCGAGTACGGCCGCAGGCACTTGAGGTAGCCGCTGCAGTGAATCGCCTGCGGCGTGGAATGAGGTCACAGGTCACGGTTGGGAGCGCGGCGGTGGGGGCGAGGGGAGCGCCGTGGCCGGTTAGGGGTCGAAGCGCGGTCAGCTGGGCCCGGATCGGCGTCAGCTGATGCTGTTCTAGCCAGGCGCATTGGCTCACCAATCCGACATTGGCATGGTCCGTTCTTTATTGTCAATCTCCGTTGTCACTTATGACGTCACGGGTAGGTATGCCACACCCATACTGGAGCGTAGGACCCGCACAAATCGTTGTGATGTGGTTACTTTTGACGTCACATGTAACAGCTTGCGGACGGCAGTAGTTTGTGACAGAGGTATCTCTGGCGCGTGGCTCCTACAAGCCAGGGCGGACAACCACCAGTAGGCTCAATAGCATGCAGGTACCTACGCAATGCCGTATGATATGGTACCGTTACGGAAGACAGCGATAACTATGTGACAACACCACGCAAACCTCGAGGAGGGGTTGCTATGCGTATTAAGAGCAAAGACCTGTTGGTGCAATGGGGGCTTTGATATAGAAAACAAACAAGGCATTGCGACGCTGGGAGTTTGGCTTTTCTTTAGATCTAACAGCAAACATCCTTTTTGAACAATACAAAACTTATGGACACTCCGCTACAGTCAGTGAAATGAGCGCGACGGTGTTACCAATGTCTTAAGTGAAACGAACTATGCCGTACAATGCCGTTAAAATGCCGTTATAATGCCGCATGCCGGCATGCCGTTATAATACCGCAGTCGTTCCATATGCGGGTGGTGCTGTAATTTCAGCACCTGCCCGTTTGTCACTGAACGGGCGTATGTCCAGCCCAGCGAGAGCTCCTGCACCCCTTGTCTTCGCCCCTGCCCGTTACCTTATAGCCGCCGGCTGTCAGACCGGCGTTCCTCTTGGCCAGAACGCACTTCATGCGCACGACGAAGCTACACTCCACTTCAAAGTCTGCCGGCGGAAGGAGGGGCGCTGTCGGCGTCCGCTCGCCCGCTGGTGAAGCACCTCTGAATGGGCCGCAGCGAGGACAACAGGACTGGTGATCTCCGCGTACGGACTGCGTGCGTCTCAGCCATCCCTGCACGTCTGACTTTACTTGTAATTGGCAGCGTCGCACAGTGTCCCCGGCTCAAGACCCCCACTGTCCAGAGCCGTGCGATGCTGTGCCAGGGTGGTGAGCTGTGCACACAGAGTTTTAGGTGGGAGAAACAATCTGCCGTTGCGCCCGCGTTGGAATTAAAGTGATACTTTTGATATGACAATTACAACGCAGTAATGCATTCTGTTATTGGCCCTAATATCGGTCTAGTTAAGTTGGCATTAAAGTCTCTGGACTCGACACAAACGCAAAGCTGTTCACTTACTATGACGCTACCCCATCGGTCGCACCTGCCGGTTATTCACCCGTTTGAGTTTTTATTGGCATTTTTCTAAATTATGGAAGGATTTTAAGAGCTTTGACACCCATCTTTTACGTTAATAACCGACTAAAGCCGTGTGTTCGGGAGGCTGTTATCAAAAGGACAACAAGTTGCATTAGAAAGTATTCGTTAAGGCCTCTACTCAACATGTCCTGAACGCGCTATGGATACCTTGGCTCATGCCGCAATTTTGCCAAAATTGGTATCGACCCAACCCCGTTACCGATTCATTTTATTGACCCCATCCGGTTACCCATTCTATGTATGTAAGCAACGACGGGTTTTCTCCACCTGTGATGACTTCTTGCAACAGAACTATCAATGTGCGCATTTCATCCTTCGACGAGCGTGTTACCACCGTTTAGACCCTCAACCTTGTCACGGCGGTGTCGGTTCTCACCACCGCTCTCACCAGCGCCACCCATTCTCTTACCAGCGCCACCCACTCTCTCACAACTATTACCCAGTCTCTCATCCGTGCCATCCAGACATTCACCAGCCCCGGTCAGTCTCTCACCAGCGCCACCCATTCTCCCACCAGCGCCGCCCAGTCTCCCATTACCATTGCCCAGTCTCTCACCAGCGCCACCCAGTCTCTCACCACTACCGCCCAGTCTCTCATCCGTGCCACCCAGTCTCTCACCAGCACTGGTCAGTCCCTCACCAGCTCCAGTCAGTTTCTCACCAGTGACGCCCAGTCTTCACCACCACCGCCCAGTCTCTCGTCCGTGCCAGTCAGTCTCCCATCAGCGCCGGCCAGTCTCTGGCCTGTGCCGGTCAGTCTGTCACCAGCGTTGCCCAGCCTCTCACTAGCATCACCTAGCCTCTGATCTCTGCCGGTCAGTCTCTCACCAGCACCGTCAATCTCTCACCAGCGCCGCCCAGCTTCTCACCAGCGCCGGCCAATTTCTGACCGGTTCCAACCGCCTGCTCGTCAGCATGGTACGGCTGGTCCGCCTCCAGGCCCACCCGCTGGCCCAGCATGGCAGCCATCTCTTCGACGTCCGAGCTGTGGATGTAGTCATAGATGCTGTTCCCCGTCAGCTCCACCTGCCGGGCAGCACCACCGTGTGTGGAGGTCGGGCGCCGCATGTACCCTGCCGGGCAGCACCACCATATGTGGAGGCCGGGTGCCACACATACCCTGCCGGGCAGCACCACCGTATGTGGAGGCCGAGTGCCACACATACCCTGCCGGGCAGCACCACCGTATGTGGAGGCCGGGCGCTGCACGTAGACGTAGACGGGCACTGGAAGTTATTCTTTCATAAGCCACAACCCGTCTCTGAGCCGATTAATGCTTCATCATACACAAATCACCTTGACTTCAGGTCATAAAAGTGCAGAAAATGCAACGTAGACTAAAATAGTGTCGCCGCAATTAGGTTGATAACCATTCGTCGGTTGACTGACCAAATGATTCTCTCAATACAACTATCGATGTTCGCATATCATTCTTCGATCAGATGACATCAGATGACATCAGATGACATCAGATGACGTTTCTCCGTCGGGTCCATTACCCGACGATGGACTGTCCTCCGAAATGCAGATGTCATTTGGCCTTTTCAGTGTTTTTGCGCTGATAGAAGCTTACAGTCAAGGTGCTTGGTCAGTCAAGGTACAGTCAAGGTGCTATTGTGCCCAGTAAACGTTTCCAATGATTTGACACCAATCCTGTTAGACATAGGCACACCATACGTTTCGAACTCAAAGAGGCTCCGGCGACCCCCCCCCCCCCCCACACACACACACGGCTCACATGAAATATCTGCTTTGCATGTTAGGCCAGGATTAGACCGGGATTAGCACCCAGTTCGATCCAGCAAAGCTTCGAAAATGTTATGCTGAGTCTGCTGCCCCTTTGCCCAACGAGGGTTTAATGATCCCATTCAGGGATGCATCGTGTGTTGAAAGATGACTAAGGTCATCTTAACAGAAAACGAATGGGTGATCCTACGCCAGATAAGTCACGCATTGTAGGCGAAAGATACGCCACGTAATCTGACGGTAGATAAGCCGTGCGTGTGCGGGAGGCCTCGGTTGAACAATCGACAGTCCGTCGCACTCCCGGTCCCGTTTGAAGTGCATCGATTTCAAGCAAATCAATGCGGGAAGTGGCGGTGAGGGATCTGCTGTGAGCGCCGCTGGAAATACATCAACCGGGCGGGACGAACCCTCCCACAACCATTGTTTTGCGCGGCCATCGGTGTGCCTTGAAAGCGTGATTAAGCACACCGTATCGCACATTATAGGCACTGCGCCTGTTCGGGTACAGCGTCGGCTTAGTGTGCGGCTTGTGAGCGCTCAGTTCGTCGGCGCAGGCGGCCGCCGGAGGGGCACACGCATATCCGGCAGAACAACACGCAGGCGGCGCCTGCTTTGTAGAGACCTCAGCGGCACACATCTGTGCTGTCGATGTCCGACGCTCGACCCATGGACGTCCGCTGGCGCCACTGCCGGGCCGCCGCGACAGGCCGGTCAGTCACGGCGGCCCGGAGCTCCAGCCGTCACTGGACGGCGTGCCGCGGCCCTGCGGGCCGGCCCGGCCGCCGACGGCTGCTGGCGAGCTGCCGCGGGCCGGCCGCTGCCGTGGTGTCGCCGCTCCGCCGTTGCCGCGTGCTGTCGTAAGGCTGTACTGTGCTGCGTGCTGTTCCCTCGGCGGCCAGGCCGTCCTCCCCCCCCCCCGCACTGGCTGTGGCCCAGCGTGCCGCTGTAGACCGGCCGGCTGTTGGGCCCGCCTCCAGCTGCCGGCGGCAGGCGAGGGAGGCCCTGCCAGCCAGCTGTGGTCAGTGGGCGCTTGGCGCCCGAGACCAGCTATCGTGAAATAGTAGTTCAAAAAGTCCCTTGAAATCAATTCGTACCATTCAGAAATTGGACTGCGGCGTATATCTAACTTTCAGAATTTTCAGCTCTTCTTCTAAAGATGTCAACAGCGACAACAACATGCAAATGGAGATTTTATCTTTATTGGTCTAGTTCTACCACCAAATTCTAGAGCCAGGTCACGGTGCTGTGAATTCTAATCCGGTTCTATCATAAATATAAAGATTGCACAGCCGAAACATATTTCCGAAACACTTTCTGCACGTTCCAGTTGACATCAAAAGCGTTTGAAGGCACTTTCTCCAGAAACGTTGTCGTTTTTGCCTGCCCATTGGCCAACGCCTGGTGTTAAACGCGGGATCGATGCGGCAAGGTCTTCGGAGACTGCAACGCCGGGCGCCGGGGTTTTTGCTGGAAGGCTTGCGAGCGCGCATGGCCAAAATTGCTTTATGGAGTTCTCCCACTGTTCGATTCTAGACAAAGGTGATCATTCTGAATCCAAAACAGGTTGATGGGAAGGCAAATTTACGACTCTATTTCGATCTAAGTTCTACGTTTACGATGCCACTGCAATTGAGCGCCGAGTATGCGTACGTCGGTATAACCGCATGGTAAATGGGGAGCCAGCTAACTAACAACGCTGTTACGCTCAGCGTGCATCGCGCATGGAACTGCTGTGCCGGGTGCATCATTTTCACAAGTTCTAAGCGAAATGGGCGACGGCCACTTGCACACCCTTCACACCACACCACGCCACACACCCTTCCGAGACACAACAGACTGGGACGGTGTCCCCCAGGCGTATAGCTGGCTCGCAATTTGTGTTATTGAGAAGAGCGTGGCAAAGGGATTCTAAACAGGAGGGCACTGGCCTAAGCGCAGTAGGGAAAAGTTGGAGGTCATATTCTTGAATTATGCGGGTAATTAACAGCAACAATAGCTTTTGTATATAAATATATATTTACATATATATATATATATATATATATATATATGTATGTATATATATATATGTATATATATATATATGTATATATATGTATATATATTTATATTATATATATGTATTATATATTTATATATATATATAATACATATATATAATATAAATATATGTACATATATATACATATATATTTATTAATTAATTAATTTATTTATTTATTTATACATTTAATAATTATGATATATCACAATAACTATGATAACTATAATTAATATGAATTCACTAATTTTAACATTCACTACAATTCATATGTCTTATCGATGAAATTTCGGTGTGTCCAGAACCGGCGTATAAATGGGCTGCACAGCCACTTATATGCAGCCAATGGACACTCCGTTCGTTTATATAAATGCTCAACAAATTATCTTAGCAAGTAATGGTAACCTATTCATCAATTTAATTCTTCCGTATGTAAGAGAAAGCTGCAGCTGCACCCCTTCACCTTCACCAAACAGGTGGCTTTGTGAGAAGGTAATGCAATCTACAGGGCTTCCATGTATGATTGCTGGAGCTACACGCATGAGCTTTAAAAATATGTAAATCCAATTTACGTTTATATATAATTTATATATATATATATATATACATATACATTTATGTCTAGGTTTACAATGGATGGCCAGAACGTAAGGCACGAAATCTGAGAAATTTTTGGACCTGTTCCCTCGTGACGACTTCCACGAATCTGGCCTCTCAGTCATTTTACAAATCGACATCCATGATTGGGGTTACTGCATGTTTTGTCTGTGTTGCAGATAGATGTGCAGCATGACCCTGTTAGCTTCACACACCCCTAAGAAGGCTTTGCATGTTATGATTCGCCTCATCTTTTTGAACTATACATATGTGCTACCTGTTCTGTTTGTGTATCTTGTGCGTTTTTGTTTTAATTGTGGCCTAAGTTGAACACTTCCGGATGCTTCCAATCTGCTGTGAGCCGAATGTGGCAAGACGGATGACCCGTTTGCTCGCAAAAGCTTGCATTTAGTTGAACATCAATTGTCCGGCAGATACGGAACAAATCCTCACAATAAGCGTATTTACATGCTGGCCGTCGGGGGCACGTATCATACATGTATATATGGGGCATGTATACCCCGTTTTATGAAATTTATTACATGTTTAAATATTCCGCAACTAAATAAAGTGTCCAACAAATCTGAGGTAGGCAAGGAAGAATAGCTGGATGGAAGACATCCCATACTGCTTTGAGTCGGCGAGACTGCGACGCACTGACTTGGGGTTTCAGTGAAAAACGAACTTGTCCCCGTGACACAACCTTGTATGCTTACCAGTTAATAACAATTGTCTGCTGCAGACGTCTATCGTCCGGTTTCTGCACCACCGAGCCAAATCGACGGTCCCCGGCTGCTTGACCCACCCATGAACCTGATCCAGTCCGGCCCCTGATGTGCCTTACCCTTCACAATACGCTGTGCGCGGGCCCCGGTCCAGCCGTGGCCTCTCCTACCCGCCGTGCGGGCCCCGGTCCAGCCGTGGCCTCTCCTACCCGCCGTGCGGGCCCCGGTCCAGCCGTGGCCTCTCCTACCCGCAGTGCGGGCCCCGGTCCAGCCGTGGCCTCTCCTACCCGCAGTGCGAGCCCCGGTCCAGCCGTGGCCTCTCCTACCCGCCGTGCGGGCCCCGGTCCGGCCGTGGCCTCTCCTACCCGCAGTGCGGGCCCCGGTCCGGCCGTGGCCTCTCCTAGCCGCTGTGCGGGCCCCGGTCCAGCCGTGCCCTCCCCTATCCGCCGGGCGGGCCCAGGTCTGCGTACCATATCGGCCAGGAGAGAGACCCTCACTTCGCTGAGCGGTGCCAAGGAGTGGCAAGCGAGAGCAGCCCGCTGCCTGGTGAGGGGCGGCTACCGCCGACAGAGCGGTGGCGGCGGCGACGGCGGCGGCGGCGGCAGGTCAGCAGCCGAGCAGGAACTGGGCACTGCACGGGTCCTGGCAGCTCAATCAGGAGCACACCACCACAGCAGCCGAACAGGCGCTGAGCATGGCACGGGTCCTGGCCGCTCAATCAGGAGCACACCACCACAGCAATCGAACAGGAGCTGAGCATGGCACGGGTCCTGGCAGCTCAATCAGGAGCACACCACCACAGCAGCCGAACAGGAGCTGAGCACGGCACGGGTCCTGGCTGAGCTGCCAGCAGCACGCCACCACAGCAGCTCACCACAGATGCGGAGCACCACGACAGATGAAGTGAGCACGCAACC